CGTGTTTCACTTTGATGTTCCACGCAAGAGGCACTCTCACTCCATCAACGTTTTTGTGTACAAATCTCCCATTTGTTCATCTAAAGACGACGATGTAGGAATCCCATCGTTAATAATACTTCCCTTGCTTCTGGCCTCTTTCATGTGCTTTCCTGCGTGGTACTAACGAGACTTTGTTTGCGCGTTTTGAGTAAAGCGAAATGCTCAGCAAAGGAACCATTTTTTAGTACTTTCATATTGATTTGCGGTGAATTTTCATCTTTAATTAGTGTTATCGAAGTATTTAGTCAACTCATCAATCTGCTTCCTTTTTAGATATGGACAACTTACTTGCAAGCATGCTGGAGTGAATTCGCCGCAAGATCACAATGATTCGCTGAGGATGTTTTAGATTTCGTTGAATTTTCCCTTATATGACCGAGCTCTCGACGTCAACTAACGAACTTGTGCACGCGTTTTTATATTCGTTGTTTTGAGCCCGGGATTTGTAAGATAAACATTTACCACTAGTAGCAAATGTTCATAGATAATCGAGCTACGCCTTTACCGCCAAAACTTGACTCACCATGCATTGCGCTATCTGCATGCAATTGTGGTCGTGACATCTTGGGTGCTAGGAGCATTTGAGGCTTTTAAAGTCCGAAGTCATCTCCATTGAAGACCGATCTCTGTGTGGTAGGCTGTCTAGTACAGTATGAATTTTTAAAAATCCCTTTTTTTTGCAACATTACAGAGGTTTGTTGACTGCATCCCTCTTTTAATCTAGGGGAAATTCGACTAATATAGATTTAAGTCTTTGTTTCGCTCCCGGTCGGAAGTGTTTTTTTCTCATTAAGAAATTTACGGTAGAAGGCGTGGTGCTTGCGCTTTCCGGCCCGACTGTTGATTAACGATTTGCCGCTTTCCTTGACTTAAAAAACAACGAATTATTTCTTCATGCTTGGGTTTTTTCATTTAGGGAAATAATTTAAATTGAGGTGTCTGTTTTGTAATTGAAAAAATTGGCGATGCACCTGAATCGCACATCTAGTCTTCTATGCGGACAATTTGATTTCGGGCGGAAGGATTCACCGATATTAGTGTAGCGTCTTAATGACCGTTCCGACTGAATAACCGGACTAGATGCGTTGAGTAACTTCAACGAGACCAGAATTTCTCATTGATATTTCGATATAATTGTAACGAACTTGTCAAACAGTCGATGTACTGACAAATGAATTGACGCTTTTGTAAGTTCGCTGGATGAGGGAAATCTTGGTCATAAGATTTAGTCATCAGTGACTTATTTGTCGAATCATTGTTAAAATTGTCTTACCTTATCACACATCACCTTTGGGCGTAATATTTCGTCCTGGTGGGTCTTTACTGAATTGGACTTGTTGATATTAAGGATTTATTTTGTAGTTCAACCGTATTCATAATTTCTATTCATTTGATTTCCTGGTTTGCGAAGCTTCGCAACAATTCGTGGTTCCACGAGTAATTGGTGATGCAAGTTTGGTACTTTTCGCGTACACTTTTGGTATTTAATACTGTTATTCTCTTTTTATTATTATAATTTATTAATAGCCTTCTTAGCAGTTGGAAAGGGTGCCTTGCCATGTGTTGGGAAGTACTGACACCCGATCAAGGTGTCTTCCGGAGTCCTCTTCATTGGGAAACATGTGGCTCATTTTCCGCTCACTGCAAATAAATTAAATTACACCCTATATCCCCCATCTACTACTTCAGATGAAGGACGATTGTTTGTAGCATATTCTCAACCATAGCAATGGTGTTCAAGGTGGGGATTGGAATGGAATTTAATTGAAGCTTGTCCGTAAAAGGATTCGCCATCAGTGAAAATTGATTGGTCGTTATGAGGCGGAGTTTCAGTTCCTGTTACTTGAACGTTTTTTTTTTTTGCACAAATGAATGATCGCTTTGGCCCGTATGTAAGCAGGTGCGAAATAACAGTCTCGTTAGTTCACTCAGGGCGAATTCGCGCAGTCACGGGCATGTGAACTAGCTCCGCCCGTCATAAATTTCAATAGCGTGTGAAAACGAGTCTGTGTGCGGGCAGTCTGAATAGCGGAGAAGGCATATTAAAGGTCAATGATGATTCTTACTTTCTCACATTAACCTGCCACAAGCACAAATGATCGTAATCATGTCAAGATTGTGGCTGGATTTTCAAAGCGTAATTACAAGTCGGTCACTCATGCTCAGGTATCGGCATTGGGTTTTCGTCGCTATGATCATTTTGACTAGAAATTCATTCTGACTTACCTAGAAAACACTGGCACGTTTTGCGTGGTAGATTTATGGATTTTATGATCAAAATTATCCAAGAGTGTTCGATGTTTCAACGAATTAGTACTCTTCGAAATATGTTTAGTTATAAAGTGCACTTAAGCCTAGCGCAGGCGATAATGACTCAATCTCACGATTCATCATGACAAAAATGCAAGTTCTATACAATGAAATAAAATTCCTGACCTGTACACTATTTTGTCTGCTGTTAAATACACTTCAAAAATGAATTTAAAGCAGCCAATTCCCATGGTCGCGCTGTTTACCCGATTCCTCAAGTAACATCGCTGGATCAAGAAATTGTTCGTGACCTTCACATTGATCAAATAAACTAAAATAAGTTAGTTTTTGTCGCCTACTTTCTCGTGGCCAATCGTTGTTGTCCTATTATCTATTAATATGGCCAGAATTACGTGAAGACTGCAGCACTCGTCACCCTAGACTGTGGTAACTGCCTTATCGCTTATCGCTCACAAATTGTCTAGTGTTTTACTACAAGTCCTATGGTTTACAAAGTTTCCTTAAGCTCAAATGACTCTTGCAACCAATCCATTATTCTACCTATCATTAAATCGAAGTACCGTTTTAATTTGCTGCCAAGGAAATTACCTATTCGAAAATTTTTGCAATGTTTAAAATTTCCCTAGTTTTTTAATGGTTGCTCTAACTCACCCAAGGTGTGAAGATTACTGAGTTCATGAAAAAAGTCACATTTTTGAAGTGTATATTTTGAACTCTCGACTAATACTAATTGTTATTGGTACACCTGAAACTATGTGGTAAAGGTCTTTGACCACTGTACCAGTCCCACTGGAAAGCAAAATCCTCCTATTAGTAGAGGCATTGTTCCCACCAGATCTCTGTGATCTTCTGATAAAAGATGTTTAAATATAAATTTTAGCAAATGGTATCACCGTGTAAGGAACAGGTCTACACAGACCTTAATCCAAAAGCCTGTGACATGTGACATAAGTAAAAAATACGAAAAAGTTTGAAGTGGGATACACTCTTAAGTGGGTATTGCAGTAGCTTTGGTGACTGCAATCATGAAAATTAACTTTTCCCTAAACATTGCATCCCATCTAATTCCAGGTAAAAAACTTTGTTGTTTTTTAACTTTCCAATGACGTGAAATAATTTATAGATTTAACTACCTCCCAGTTTCTTCCAAATTCCTCCACAAGAAGAAGGTGATTTTAGACGAAAGCTGTTAAATTTCAGAAGGGTTGGTGCTATTATCATGGATACGGTGGTTCTGTGTGAGGACTAGCAGATAGCAGAGTAGTATCTACTTAATAACTTTTGTGATGAATTTATGCAAAGGTCTTCTGTGGCCAAATCTTAACTTACTTTCTTCAGCTTTATAGAAGTGTTTATCCCATTCAGTCTAGTATTGTTTCTTGGTAATGACATTTCTAAAATACGCAATAGGAGTTGATTATTAAATCATCCCTTAGAGGCAAATGCGTTTTTCAAATGAATCCTCAGTCAACTTTTTATACCGTCCTAGTCTGCCACATGCTGCCCCATTACTTGTATCCACCAATGCCAACGGATTTTAACTTTAACCCACTTAAGGTATGTTGCCGCCCTGCCCTACCCTGCCCTAGGTTCTTTCAAGGGAACGGTACAATGCCACGAGCATTTCCTTTTTCCTGAATAAATATTGTGAGGCAAAAGCGTTAGCAACGGAGACGAATAGGAGAATTTTTAAGTTGAACTAAAAATTAAATTGGCTTGGTCGGTTTCACAGAAATTACTTTGCCTCACTCCATTACTCATAATCCTGTAAGATTTACTATGATAAGCATATCATTTGTGTGGATATTGGTATTAATGATTTCATCAAGAAGGATGTGGTCGAGCTGCATTAATAAGCATGGGCGTTCTGATTTCCGCACGGCTTAGCCAGAGCACAACATTCCGGACACTTTTCTTATTGAACGTTACTTGTGCTTGCGATAACACTGTAAGTTTTGCATATAAGATAAGCAATCTCATATTGTAACACCATAGGTTTAATTATTATCTCACGTGTCATCAGTAAACTCTGTTCGGCACGGGTTAATCAAATCCCTAATTATCACCCCTTATTATCAGCTCTTTTTGAAGTGCTAAGTAAGAATTTTTTTAATTTTAGATCGAAACCACATTTTCCATCCCTGTTCTCTGAGTTGTTTTTAATCGAGTTGAAAACCTTCTTCATGATTCATTCCCCCTGTTCCTATCTACGTGTTTCTCAAGGCGAGTTGAAAGCTAGGCCTCCCGCTCCGCGGTTTAATTCAAAGCTGAAGTCATTTAGGAGCATTTGTCTATTTGTTCAAATACATGCCGGCTGTTTTTTGTGAATCCAAAATTCCATTCGGTCTCAAAAGTTTAATTTAATGGAAAATAATTGTCGCTTTGTCCTGAAGATGAAGGTTGGTTTATCCTTGAAACAAACAACTGAGACCAACATATCCAGAAGCTTAATTTTATTTTTGTAGTCTTTCGGGTTCATAAAATGGACACTTAGTGAAATCCATAAACAAGTTGGAATGTCTTTCCTCGAACTTTACAGCAAAATCACCTTTAATTATTCATTTAACACTGCCAAATTTTGTGGCAAATAGTCACATTGCGATGTTTGGCAAAATCAGCAGAAAAGGTTTTTCTTTTGCACACCAGTAGCGATGAGGTGTATTCCTTGTCCAACATCGGCATATCTACCATCTGGTCACAGCCATGCATCTGCCTTACAGTGCTGTTTATTATTTTTTTAATAAAATGCAGTTTGGGTGAAGGGAGCACCCATTTCCACCGTCCCATATCACCATGGTTACTCGGAGACACGTGCTGTCGACGCTGTTGCATCTAAAGCATGCATGCACGCACACGCCCACTAAGGTGACTATTTAATTGAACTGCTGGCCTGATTCACGCCTCGGTGGGCCCGTAAAGTGTCCTCCAGTTTGCGGTTTACTACCAAGACGAAAAAGGAGCTGTCTGGATATCTTCACACCGAGAGTTCTAGCTTGGAGCTACAGCAATAGCTCCATTTCCTAACCCCCAGTCGTAGCCTTCATATAGATAAGTCTTCATCACTAATAGGTGCCTTTAACAAGCATCTGTTTTAGTAAGCCGTATAAAATGTTTAGTCGAAATGTAATAAGCGGCGCCTTCGTATTGTTCTATTTCACGTGATTAGTTAGTATCCGTCTGTCTGATACTTTTGGATGGAGTTGTTGAGTTAGCTTGAGAACAATATTGTGCGCAACAAATGTAGTCACTTCGTGCCATTTCCGGACAAAAAGAAAAAAATAAAGGCAAATTTTATCAAATCTAATTTTAGAATTATTGTAGTACAAGTCCACTCATATTTCCAAGGTTTAGGATTATCTATAAAAACAATTCTACTATTTTTAAAGATCATGCGAAAGTTTTATTAGACGTCTTCAATACTGCTTCACTTTCGTGAAGGTGGTCATTTGTGATCACAGCATGAACGAAATGATTGTGTTCAGTAACGATTGTTATGCATTACCGAAACGACTAAGGTTTTCAATACTACGCTCATAAGTGTCGGAAATGGCTAAATGTTAAGAAAAGCAAATTTGTCTCCCCAACTCAGGAAGAATGTTACAATTTCTACTAACACTTAATAGCAATTCATGAGTCATTTTTTACACCTAAGCTGATTTTCCTTTCAAAAAAGGTTGTTCAGATTTATTGTGGTCTCTTGCTTTACGAATGTCGCCTCACTCACCAAACTAAATGACATCAATTTTTTCAGAAAACTGGTCGCATAATGCACCTTAAATTCTAATCTCTTAATGTTCTTCTGACTGTCGTCACAGTGCCTAATTTATTGCATTACCCTTGTTTCACCGTGCCACCATCACAAATTGTTAATCTTGATGAAGGAAATTCAATTTCAAGGAGATTAAGGGCTTTTAGTTCCGGCTTGTAGGCTTTTGTACTCCGTAGTACAATTAAGCCAAAAATATCACGCTATCACGGTATGCTGAAAAGCACTATCATGGATGTGCCCGAGTGAGTGGTGACAAATTTAAATACTAGTGTGATACCTTTACTGACTGACCGGTGAACACAGGAAGTCATAATCTGAAATCGAAATTGGTTATAGATGGCAGTTTCGTAAAAACGGGAACAAATTTCTTTTGAGTATTGCATAGTATAGTATGGTATGCCGTAAAACAGTACAATATATTATAGTATGGTTTGGCATGGTTCATTTGTGTCATGGAAATGCCTCAACGCCAAAGTACCAGGCAGCATGCCTCTGCCTTTCGATCCTTTGAGTATGATGGGGAACACAAGGTTCGGAGTCCATGGCGTGACCATTTAAAACAGGATGACAGTATGCTAATTAGCTCTATGTTTAAGCAATGACAGCGATTGATGACGTATAAAGTGGAGAGCAGATAATTACTATTAGTGACCTAAGAGTCAGTGCAAGTTACTATCGTCCCGTAAGTGGATCGGCAAGACTGGACTAATATTTCCACTGTCACACCGTGCAAAACCGTATTCTTTTCCATTGTAATCACGCTAATTAAACCTTGTTAGTATTAACATTAAAAGACAGATTTCTTTCGGTTAGATGTATCTTAATAATTTACTTTGCGCAACTCTTCATCCGTTATTGTAAACTGAGGCTTAAATGGTCACCCTGCTTTAGGGTTTTGCCATATTTTACCTCGTTTGCCCAGAGGAAAACTTAGACGATGACCTACTTTCTGCATTATTTCCTCGTGCTTCCCAAAAAATGGGATTCCCGTGTGGAGTATGCTTTTGTGTGTATCTTGGCAGAATATCTCATTTCCCGACCCGAACGCCCTCCCATCTTGGGAACACACACACACACACCGGCGACTACGTCCGAGCTGTGCAGAGTATCTCATGTCTCTTAACAGGCGCAGGTACACGCACACTCACTTCGGTCAGCCTGTGGACGGTTTAAAGTCAGGGTGTGAAAAAGCACGAAGATGTGGTAGTGACAACAGGTGTTGCATCCTTTAACCTCACGGATTGGATAAAATGGGGGAAAGTAGACGCGAAATCGTTCGTGATGGATTCCCCACTCGCGAAAAACTGCTTCCATTTACGGTGAGGTCGTTTCG